GGAGGGGGGGAGATACTTTTGAGACCCTTTTTCTATGTAACCCTTTCCTCCAAGGTACTTTCAGGCCCTTTTCCTGTGTACTTTTTCCATATACTCAAAACCAAGGGTGACATAGGCTTATGGAAATATTAAATTTGCTTTTCTTTTTGAGTGATTTAAAGGTAAAGAAAGAACATTTATCAGTCCTTTCAGTTCATTTAACCCATTTGCCCATAGAAACAATGTCATAAATGTCGCTTAAATTCCCAGCCCAGCTCAGCCTTCTAGAGCAGGCGTTTGGACCCCTTTGGTAATGGGTAGAGCCCATGAACTTCTCAGAATGATGTTTCTAAGTTCATAAAAGGAAATACATGGGATTACATAGGAAACTGATTATATTGAAATACAGTTATCAAGATATTCTTTTTTAATTTACAGGCCCTCTCAAATCTATTCATGCACCCCTTGAGAGTTCACAAATCCAGGGTTAAACTACCCTTACTCTAGAGATTTTTCAGTCCATAACATAGCCAAAGTATAGTACGTAAGCCTAACCACTGTTTGTAACATTGCTAATGTGAATAAATGTGGTCCAATTTCTGAAACAAGAAACTTAATGAATCTTTATAGTATGCCCCATTTGAGAGTTGGGGATTGTCTTTACTGTATGTAGTTAAAATCCCTTTACGATGTGAAAGACACTTTTTAAAGTTTTTCATTTTTTTGTTTCCATTTAGCTTAAGGGATGTACGTGTTTAGAAAATTACATATTTATGTCAAATCTTTTTGTTAAAATCTCCATTCTTTAATATTGTTACTTGTTTTATTTCAATATAATTTCAAGTGTTATTTCAATGCTTAAAATAACCTTATCTGACAAACTCTTCTCAATTTATTCAGTTGGTGGAGCTTCATGTTTTTTATGTCCCTGAAGGATCATGGAACTATAAGCTAAATACCATTTCAATAGAAGTAGTCAGTAAATTTATTTCAGCTGGATTTATAAGGTAAGTATTTTTAAAGTCACGTAAAAATGTGTTCAATGAAGTGATTTGTTGTCCTTCCCCTGCACCTCCTCCCACCCTCTCTCCCTTTTCCTAAAATTTCCTTCAGGTAAGAATGGGAGTGGACCACCTCCCGCCATGGGCTGGACTTAGTCCCTGGCCTAACTTCTCGGCATGTACCCTAGGCAGTGGTGTTGCTGCTGGAATAGTGTTGCAACCCAAGGAATACATTTTTCCTAGATAAGCTGCTGTGGTTAAACATTTAAGAGGTTAATCATCTAAGACCATTTGAAGAGCTGTGACCATTAATCAATCCATTAAAAATTTTTTTGTCAGTTCCTTAAATATTAATTATTTATTAGGTGCTAAGCACTGTGGTTACAAAACAAACCAAAATCAAATTGCCCCTGGCCTTTAGAAGCTTGCATTTTACTAGAAAGTAGCCCACACTCACAATTAGGGAAATTCCAGCTAATTTGAGGAGGCATAGCACTGATAAGTGGGAGAGTAAAATAAAGACTGCTGATCACGGAGGCTGGGGCTCCTGGGCTAATCTGTGAAAGGAGATACAGATTCCGAGAGGTGGAGACGAGGAGGTGTTTCCTCCCCAGGCCTGGTGGGGTCAGTCTTTGGAAGGACAGCAAGACAGGGAAGGAGCACCCTTGGGTCCATGCAGCTTTTATTTTTCATCCGTATAATATTCATTTTCACTGGCTGACTCTGTTGTTGTTGTTTTCATTATATGTAGGGACCCTTTTAGTTTATTAAAAAAAAAAAACAACTAATTGCACACGGGACAAGAAAATGAAAGTTATGTTATTTCCCAATATCGAAAGGACCATTCTAAATTGTTAGATCATCAACTGTTATTTTAAAAGGTAGTGATAAAAATATCACTAATGATGCAAAACAAAGCAGAACAAACAAACAAATAACCTCTGACCTTCAGAAGCTTGCATTTTATCAGGAAGTATTCCACACTCACAAATAGGTAAATTGTAGCTAATTTGAGGAGGCTGCAACTTTAACAAGGTGGTGACAAGTGAAGTTTATCTCCATCACTTATATTAGGACCTATTGAGACTTCCTTTGTCTCTCTTTGTCCCAACTAGAGCTGAGTTCTTTACCTTTAGGCAGGATGAGGATGAGTAGTTATCCACTGTAGCTGGTGTTAGACCTGGGGTAGTGGCAGGAACTTTGGGTCACTGTGGAAATTCTGTGAGACATAGTTCTAATTTAAATTAGATCTGTGGTTACTGCAATGATCAAGGAATGGATAGGCCATCCATGTGCTGAAATCCAATCCAGTCCAACAGTCATTTATTAAGCACCTGCTGTGTAAGCCCTGGGGATACAATTGAGAAAAGGAAAGACAGTCTCTCCCCTCATGGAACTTACAATCTAATTGGAGGAGGGGGTGACAACACAGAGAGAGAGACAGGAAAGGGGTGGGGAAGAACAGAAGGTATCTTCTTCCATGGAGTTGAAACCAGGCAGAGCAGCAGATGCAAAGTGCAGAGAGTCCAATTTCTGCCCACTATAAAGGAAGGCACTGGGAAGAGTTCTATCCTCCTGCCCTCCAATCAGAGGGGAGAGGAGGCTGAAGGAGGTGCTGTCAATCAAGGCTTGAGTTAGAAAGCATGGGGGTGAGTTTATCCTGGGAGGAGCATCTTATTCTGTGGAGTTGAAACCAGACAGAGCAGCAGATGCAAAGTGGAATGAGAAATCATAGGAGCAGCTAAGAGAATAGAGTCATGAATCAAAACTAAAGCAAAATAAAGCAAAACAATAAATGGGACAATACAGGAAACATGGCTACAGAAGTAGGTCAGGATGTAGATAATCTTGGAAAGATGGATTATAGTACAAGAGGTGTGCTTTAGAGCAGCTTGGTGGTGCAGTGGATAGGAAAAAATCAGAAAGGCCTGAGTTAAATCTGCCCTCAGACACTAGCTGTGTGACCCTGGGCAAATCATTTCCACCCTCTTTGCCTCAGTTTCCTCATCTGTAAAATAATCTGGAGAAGGAAATAGCAAACCACTCCAGTATCTTTGCTAAGAAAACCTCAAATGAGGTCACAAAGAGTTAGACACGACTGAAACAACTGAACAGCAGCCAAAAGATATACTTTTTGTGTCTACATCCCCAGATGAAATTAAAAAAAAAGGAACTAGTTAACAAAACTGGTGTGCCATTCTGTCTTCCAACGGGGCTACCTGGGCTGTGGAACAAAGGATTATTGGCTGAATTCTGCAGCCAACATCAGGCTTGGAAATTGTTGGTAGCTCCTAAACATAGTCTTCTTGTTTCCTGCTTTCTTAATTGACCAAGTGTAATATCTGATATTTCCCATTAAATTGACCCAGTGCTATACAAGAACCAGAGAAGGTTGGTGGTTATTGTGACTGCAACTTGAGTTCTGCATAAACTTTACTTTGCAGTAACCAATAGAATAGAGAATGGATTTTCAGTGATTTGGGAAGTTATAGCTGAAAGCATGGGACCTACTCTCTGTGTGATGGTAACTGGACAGAAGGTGAAGTGTCCATCTTTCTTGAAAGTTGAAGCAGAGACTTGAAGTGGACCTCCCATTATATAAGGATTCCTTTGAAGTCTGGCAGCAGTTGTTAAGCATTCGTGATTTACTTTTGTTGCCTACACTCTATAGTCTATGAATCAGTTTAGGTAGTTTCCAATTTCCCCAAGGAGTTTTGTGCCATATGGATATTGGTGCATGCAGTGGTGGCTGGGAAAAACCTGAGGTGGAAATCACAATTTTTGAGAAAGGGGACATTGCGGGAAGCCTGGACAGAGTGGATCCACTAAAGTTTTCTGATTCTTTATCCTGGCATGGATGTGACTTTGAGCCCTTGAAGCCCTTTGAAGCCCTGCTAACAAGTCCTGACAGATTCCACCAAGCTGGAAAGACATTGATTAAGGGGTGTGGGGATGGCAATGACTTACAGCTAGGGAGATCAAAAAGGCCTTGTGTAGCTGGTTACACCAGAAATGAACCTTGAATGGAGCTAGGTATTCCAAGAGTCAGAGGTGAGGAGGGAGAAGTATGGTGACCACTGACATGGATATTGGTGATTAAATGCCCTATCCAAGCAATAGCTACAGTGGGAATAATGTGAGACAAATCTGGAAAGCTGCATTTTAAATGTCAAAAAGAGTTTTATATTTTATTCTAGAGGTAATAGGGTGCCACTGAAGCTTCTTGACCAGGATAATGATGTGGTTATACATGTGCTTTAGGAAGATTATTTTAGCAACTTTCTTAGGATCTATTGGAATGAGGAGAAATCTAAGTCAATTAAGAGGCTATTATAATAATCTATATGAGAGGTTATGAAGCCCTGAAATAGGGTGATGGTCATGTGAGTGAAAAGAAGGAGATGGTCACAATTTTATGAAGAAAGAGTGAGCAAGACTTGGTAGCTGGTTACTGTGGGAAATGGAATGGGTAGTAAGAGAATGAAGAGTCAAGGACTGGAGATTGTGAATATGAATAACTAAATATTGACAAATAGAGAAATTAGGAAGGAGGGTTATATTTAGGGGAAAGACAATGAGTTCCATTTTGTATAGAGTTTGAGATAACCTATGGGATATGTAGGTGGAGATGTTTAATAGGCAGTTGGTGATGCAACACTGGAGCTCAGGAGTGAGATGAGGGCTGTATATGTAGATTTGGGAGTCTTTTATGGAGAGAGAATTAAACTCCCAGGATCTGAAGAGATGGACTGCTGAGAGAATGTAAAGAGAGAATTATAGAACTCAGAGTAGAACCCTAGGGTATACCCGTGTTTGGAGGGCAGGACATGGATGATGATCTAACAAAAGACATTAATAAGAAGTAGTTAAATAGGTAGGAGGAGAACCTGGAGTGTAGTTTTGTGAAAACCCAGGAAAGAAAGAGTATCCAGAGGCAGAGAGTGAGCATTATAAGGGGCTGTAAAGAGGCCAAAAGGTATGATTATAGAGAAAAGTTATTGTATTTAGTAATTAAGAGATCATTGGCAGCTTTTAATTGTGAAGACTCAGAAAATTTTTGCTTCCAAAGTTCTTGGCACTGCCAAATGATTCAACATCAGAAATGGATATGATTTTATCATTGGAAAGACACTAAGATCATAACTGTCTTCCTTGACACTGTACCCTGAGGACCACTGGACCCTTCCACCCGCTCTTCAGCTGATACCTGTCTATGCTGTCCACCCTTATTAGAATGTGAGGTCCTTGAGAGAAGGGACTATCCCTTTTCTGTTTTTATCTCCAGTGCTTAGTGTAGTGCTTGGCATATAGTAAACACTAAATAAATGCTTTTCACTCATTCATAATAATGGGACACTGGAACTCCCAATGGATGAGGTGTGGGCAGATGAATACCTTCTACAAATCATTGTCCAGGAACAATGTTGAAGAAAAAGTGAGAAGTTGAAACTCCAGGCAACCTGGGGATTATACAAAGTCAATTCCTGGATCCTGGAGATTACTGGGAATAAGGGGGAGCTGTTGATCACAGAATGTCACAGTTGGAACAGAGCTCAGAGACCATTTATCTCAAGCCATTTATCTGACCAAGAATTCTCTCTACAACATACCTAAAACATACCAACAACGTACATACCAACATACATCTAACTTTTCTTTGAAAAACAAATCCACCACTTCCTTTCCTCAGTAGTTCTAATTGTTAGGAAATTTTTACTTAAATTGAGCTGGTCTGCATCCCTGCAATTTCTTTTCCTAGCTCTTCCCCATGGGTCTAAGCTGGACAAATCTAATCCCAGTACCTTTGACAGCCCTTTAGTTAGAAGACAGCCCATCTACTCTTATTCAGCTCTAAATGTTAGGATGTCTTTCCTGACATCCAGTCCAACATTGCCCCTTTATAACTTCTACCTTTTGTTCCTGGTTCTGCCCTCTGGAGCCAGACATAAAAAGCCTAAACCCTCCTCCACATGGCAGCCGTCCTAATACTTAAAAGACAGCTTTTG